TTATGTTTGGTTCTTTGTTTTAAATTACTGTGTTTTTAATAAATATACTATGTTTTTTTTTGAGTTGCAATGGTGGAAAACACGGAAAGGATTTTTTATTGTGTTCTGTGAATCTGGTTTCCAATTTTCTTTCTGTTTCTCCGGTGTATCATAGAATTCTGGGCAGTTATTGCATGTTATTTTGTAAATGACGTTGGTATTGTGTGATTCTAAATAATTTTTGTTTAGTAACGATTTTAATTTAGGGCCAGGTTTTTGTGAGAATTTGACGTTGACAGGAATTTTGTGTTTAGTGGCTAGTTTTGTTGAGCTAATTCTTGAGCTGGTTTCAGGGACAAAGGGTAAACTGCAGTGTAATGTTCTGTTGTTGGGTTTGTTAGTATCAATTTTGTTCGTGAGTTGAGTTTTGTTGTGGAGAATGTTGGAGAATTTTTCAACAATAGCAGGTGGAAATTTATTGGGGTGAATGAAGGAATGCTTTATGTGGTTAATTTCTTCATATATGTAGTCCATTGAACAGAGTCTTGTGGCTGTGTTTAAACAACGTTTTCACAAACTTACAAACAATATAAAATCTTCTTTCTAATTTGGAACTTCCTTGATATCTTATGGAGGGTTTATAATGATCGAGTTAATTTCAAGTCGATGTAAATACGATTCGCCGGGAAGCTAGCTAGCTTTGTCCTTTACCACACACACTAAATTTTTGGTCTGTTGAAGTTAGGTAATGTTTTTGTAAAAATACTAATGTCCGATAAAAATCCACTGAATTTAAACGATTTGTAACGTTCGAAATTTATAAATATTCCTGGTCAAATATCTTAAGTTTCCGATTGATAAGCGTTATAAAAAGCACAGTTAAAGATTTCGAAGTCTATAGCACACTGATTATAGCGAAGTACTAATAGACACTCTCTTCTTTTAGGCGCGTTGTGTGGGTTGTATTTATAGGCGTGGGAAGGTTTTCTAGAAAATTCATATTACATAACAATACTGAGCTATATTTAACCATTTACTTATATAGATATATTGTTGATTCCTACTCTCGAGAATCCTCTACAACTTTAGAGAATAGGCGGGAGTTTTGCAATACATATCTAACACCATAAGCTATGCACGTTTTTAAATATAAACTTAATCTAAACAACGTTCATATTAAAATAAATACGTAACAACAAATTCGTTACACATTTTACTTGTAAAGCATAAAATCCGTTTATTGCGGTTATTGTTGTTGTTAGAACTGTTAATTTTAAGAGTTTATCTATAGAAAAATAAATTAAGAGTGGCACCCCGTCTTGAAATGTTGAACATTTATTGGAAGAGTAAAAGTTAGGATTGGGTGGGATTCAGATCCGCACACTAACCGAGTACATGCTTTAGCTAACTATATACTAACGTGTTTCGAATGCCGAAAATCTCAGCTCTGGCTGGTTATGAATATAGTACTTGAAAATATGCAGGCCTGACAATAGCATCAAAAAACAATAACTCCATAGTTGCCTTTCCAGACCGATTGGAATAACGCAAGACAAAAATCCGTTTACAATAAACACTGAATTGCAAAATGAAAGTTGTTGGATTCAAACGCTGTAGCCTGTCGTTTGCTAAACCAACTGCCGGATTTTGATGTCGTCCTATCTTGATTATGGTTGTTCAGAAGGATTACAACTTCAATGTTTTCCATCCTTAAAAAAATTCGCCGGTACATGCGTTTTGTTCTTCATTACAAATCCTGCTCTCAATAGGGTGTACTGGATTTTCGGTTTCAATGAATAACAAAACAGCTGTAAAAGATATTAGAAAGGTAGCGCTTGCTATACATGCAATGTAAAAAGTTATTTCCTCTAAATCGAAAACAGATCAGCTTTAAAAAAAAACTGCAGCCAAGTAAAAAAAAAGCCCGCTACTAAAAGATCTTAAATCAAAAATACCTCTCTATGTACATCAAGACATATTTTAACACCCTACCATATGGATATTAAATTAAATTATTTATTTTACTTGTCCTTTGTATATAAAATAGATCATATTGTACATTCATCATTGTAGTTTAAGATGGATCACTGTTTAAAATATCCTTTCACTTGCTTAGTGTTAGGTCTAACTAGAAGTGGTAAAACGCAATTTGTTAGTAATGTGTTATCACATTATCATGATATTATTTACCTTACCCAAGAAAACATTTTATGGTTTTTTGGTGAATTTTAACAGTTGTATACTAACTTAATGCAAACCAAGGTCAAAGGTTTAGCTGAAAAGTTTCGTGATTATTTATAACCCAAAAATCCAAATCTTTTTATAATTGATGATCTCATGTATGAAAGTGGAGAAAATAAGGGAGTGTCCAGCTTTTTACATGTGGAAGTCACTATTTGAATTTATCTGTGATTTTATTATACAGAATCTATTTAATCAGGGTAGAGAAATCCACAACATTAGTTTAAGCTCTCAATACATAATTTTTTTCAAGAATGGGAGAGACAAGTTTCAGCTGAATGTTTTAGCAAGACAATTTTTTCCAACACATGTCAAATACTTTGAAGAAGCATATCAAGATGCAACTCGGCAACTGTTTATTTCCAGGAGATGAGATTGTAGTGTATGTGCCCAAATGATATATGTTTATACATCGTGATGACTTCGGCCATGATAGATATTGAAGGATTTTATCTGAAGGACAGACCATACTTATTGTAGAACTACACAGCATGGTCACAAGTAAACAGACACCACCTTTTCAGAAAAAATGAAATGTTTCAGTCATATTCACATGAATTGATATATTTATAATTTAATCAGTAGCTAGTAGATCTTCC